TTGTGGAAAACTGGTCCAACAACTGGACAACAAACGACTCCATATTTCTATATCGGACAAAATTGTCACACTTTTTGTATCATCTTTCCATACCGGTTTATCTTTTTATTTTTAATTTAATAATATAGAATTATTAAATAATGATTTCAAGATGTAGGAAATAGAAAGTGTAAGATCATGCATTCAGTGATACTACTTTTTATTCGAGAGACAGAAAAAAAAACTTTTGTACTGCCAGAACCATACAAAGAAGATTGAAAAGAGCAAAAGTGAGATGACAAGGCTTAAGGAGATCAGTGATCGTAGGAGAGAAATGAAGCAAGTATGGACAAAAACCTGAGAGCTACATGTTAAAGCAAAACTTCGACATTTTATATGGCGAATGTATAAAGGATGGATTCCAGCAAATTCAGTCTTAAAATAGAAAGGTATGGCGGTGGATGAAGTATGTAGAAGATGCGGAGATACTGATGAGAATATTGAGCACACCTTATTCTCCTGTGATTTTGCTAAACTGGTTTGGAAATTGTCTCCAGTAAAATGGGATGGTTTACAGGAAAAGGAAGGAAGCTTTGCACAGTGGTGGAATATGGTGATGAAGATTGATCGGAGAAAGGAGATTCAGGCTAGAGTTGAGTTGTCAGTTTACATCTTGTGGCAACTGTGGAAGGCTATAAACTCTTGGCAGTATGGTAAGCTGAATGTAGAAGCAATGGAGGTGGTCCAGAGAGCAATAAGAGAGTGGATAGAGCTTTCACAAGCCTAAGAGAAAGAACAACGGAAAGACAAGTTAGTGGGAGAAGGAGGTGAAGCACAAGGATGACAGGCACCAGGTTTGGGAGTGATGAGAGTAAACGTGGGATTTGAAGTTCAGAGTAAAGAGGGTACAGCTGGTTTGGGACTCACAATCAGAGATAAAAAAAAGTATGCTAGTCATAGTAAAGTCCATTTTTCTTTCTCATACTAGAAACCAGTGTGCTGCTGAATTGGAAGCTATTAGAGCTGCGACGTTTGAAGCCCAATACAGAAGATTAAAGAAAATAGAAGTCCAATTAGATGATAAGATTATGGTCGCTTGGTTACAGGGGAACATTTCTCCAGTTTCAGATGTGATTTCTATAATCCAAGGCATCTCTTGGCTAAAATTGTTGTTTGATGATTGTAAGTTTTTGTTTATAAAGAAAGTGTGAAATAGTACAAGTCACAAACTAGCCAATTTAGGCTTAAGTAGCAAATGTACACAAAGTTGGGATGTGGAAGCCCCTTTATGGCTAGTTGAGTCATTTACGGCAAATTGTGTTTAGCTCTTTATAAATGCTTATTACTCTTTTCTTTTATTAATGAAATGATTATCGCTTTGGGGAAAAAAAAACCCACACGAAACAAAAAATATTACCAAACAATATTTTAACTATCCCGACATATTACATGACTGGCTAGCCGAAAGAGTCATTTTCAACGCGATTCACAGAAATTCTCTACGTTCCTCCCAGCTCTGATTTGCGACATTTATTTGATTTTAGGCCCTTTTTGATAAAAACCCCATCATATATAGGCATTCGCAAATCACAAAAATGTCAATTATCATTACATTGCTTGAAATTAAATGCTACAAAATAATTTTTTTTTTATCGTACTTGATGGGAAATTACAATGTCTTTATGAATTTTGGCATAAGTATTTAAACTAAATGCTTGTCCTGGGCGAATGTCCGGGGTCGCTTGTCTTATAAATCCTTTAAATTTTAAAATAAACAAACAAATGATCCAAAAAATTAGAGTTTGTTTGGCCAACCTTCCATTTTGCATTTTGTCTCATTTTACCTCTTAAACACAAAACTCAATGGAAAAGAAAACATCATCTAAACAACGGTCTAATTTACATTTTAAATTCCAACTTGAAACACTTTTTGTTAGTGTAATGACTATTTTAGAACTACAAATAGTTCAGTGACAAAATTGACAGGATTCTGTTGTTGAGTGATTGTTTTTGGAAAAGTTCTTTTTTGCAGTGACTATAATTGACAATCATTACATGTAACATAATCATTACATGTAACACAAGATGATCACTATATGTAACACAATCATTACAAGAGAATATTCTCTTTATTTTGACATTTCTGAATAATGAATTGTATATGTTCTCCAGTGTATTTTCATCCTAGATCCGCTACCGTATGTATAAGATTCGATCGAGTGCTTATTTATTTAGTATCAATAGCACCACGACACACAACATATGCATCACAAACTTAATTGGTCGAACCAAAATAATTTTGTTTTATTAATTAATCTACCAAATAGAAATTTATCAGGAAAAAAAAGAAGAAGATAGAAAATATTCCCTCTATCGGGGGTGTCAATTCCTGACACGACCCGTGAATCGGACTCGAACTCGACATGAAATAAACGAGTTTGAAAATATTAAATTATTTAAAAAATTTTAGATATATTACAATTTTAGTGTTGATTAATCTTAAAAGATATTTATAAACACTTTTTTTCCCTTATCCCTTTAAAATTTCAAATAGATATTACTTTTTCATCCAAATGTAAATGATAAATTACAAATTTATTGGTTTTTTATATTCATTTTTAATTTTATAGTTTTTGAAAAATTATAAAATTTAAATGGGTCGATTTCGATAACCTGTATAATTAAATAAGTTGAGTTCGGATTGAAGATCTCAGCCTGTATATTAAATGGGTTGGATTTGGGTAGTTGTAAAAATATCATCATCCTGCACAGAACCCATTTTAACACCCCTCCGTCCTAAATAAACATTCTACATTAAATTTCTAGTTTTGTATTGTTTTTAGTACAAATTAATTCTTGCTCTGCATTACTAAAAGACAATAACCGTTGTTGTGAGTATTTTTATTAGTAATTATCATTAAATACATATATCGTATCGCATTGTGATGCAAGGCTTCAAGAGCGGTTTTGATTCGATTATAAAATAAATCTTATTATTTCTCTAATTAACTGTAAAAGTTGCTTAAAACGAAGCCTTCATGCAAGGCTAAAAGAAATGTTTCGAATTTGCTAACATAGAGAAAGACATTTACAAAAGAGAATGTCATCTACACAATTCAACAACGAACATTAAATTTCTTAAGGAATGAAATATAACAAAGAAAGATGAAGAACATAAGAAACCTAAGTGGCCAAACAAATCAAAGAAGCCAAAAACTATAAGAGAAACATGTAAAAGTGTGATGATAGATTCTATAAAGGCACTTGGGCCTATCACTCTGATCTTTTAAAATGTAGTCTATGCAAGTGTGTTAATAGACTCCTCTTTTTACAAGACATTTTTTGTGTGAAAGTAGAACGAGTGAAAGTCAAGTATTGACTGGATATTAAACAATTTTAAAATGCCACAATACATTATCATTTTATTGAAAAAAGAATTTTAAATAATTTAATTTATCAATAATAATACAAATTTTATTATCAAACTAAAACCATTATCCATTACAGATGAAAAATGAAACTACATCAAAACCTCTTACAACTAAATCCTATGTCTTCTAGCAAAAAAAGGTAAGTACATTACTTAATAATCCTCGTAGTAAAACCGATTTCACCATCGCTAACCCATTGAAACGCGCCAGGGTCCCAATGGGAGGTACCGTTTTGCTACTATTAAATCTTGCAATAAACAATAAATTTACCAGGTCCATACCTAATAATAAGATAAGTATCATTCAAAGGACAAACATAGAAATAAGAACTTGGATAATGAGAAATCTCTAACATAGCCTACATAGAACTTTAACAATAAAATAGAGTCCATTCCAGTTCCGCTAGCACATTTCAATTCTAAATTCTATATAGGTACAGAAAATATAGTTAGTTGTAGGTTCATTAGCATCTTTCAGTTGAAGGTTTGCAACACTGCAACTGTAACTTTCACATTCTTCTTACAAGTTACAATGATAATGTGCAATAGCAAATGTACTTATAATGATAGAAATAATACAACCATCGAATTATTAAATCACTTTATCGAATCATTTATAGCACAGAGGATACATCTTGGTTCTTAGATGACGATACATAATTGAGGAATACTAAAACAAAATTTGTTAAATGCCACGATGCTTTTATATTATGATGAATATTATTTTACTTTTATCAAATTTTGGGACACATGTATATATATATATATATATATTTATCATTTCAAGTTATCACACTAATATATAATTCATTCATTACTTAAAATTATGAAAAACTCCCACATACTAGTAAATGAAGGTTTTTAATAAGTAGTAGTGGATTTGTCTGTTGTTATTAGACTAATTGGTTTTGTCTATTATTATTAGACTACTTGGTTTTGTATTATATATAGTGGAGTATTATTCTCTCTCTATTCTCTTAAATTCTAGCCGGCTCTCAAAAAAAAGGTTTTTTTACCCATCTTCCTTCATGGATCAATGAGGAAATTGATTTGATTTTTCTTAGTTTACAGTTCTGTTTATTGTTTAATAAGTGGGACTTGTCCCAAATTATAGTTCCTTCAGTAGATTAATTGTAATCTATTGAAAGGGTACGGTTTTTTCTTATAGTGTTCGTGATGTCTTTCGTATTGATGCTGCGATGTGTGTAGTTTCAGTTGTTGCTTCACACTATGCGGTTGAAGAAAATTTAGTTATCATAGATTTATTTGATAGATCTATGATTTGGGGCTTTCATCAGATGATTAAAGATATCTTCTTGATCAGATTGATTATTGGTACGGTATATATCCATCGTTGTATTGGGTAAATCTAGATAAATTTATCTACGAAAAACACAACAATAATATTAAGTCTAATTGTAAGTGTGTTCTTATTTCGACTATATCTTTCATTTTAAGCGTTGTTGAATGATTTTCAGTAAAATAATATAATATAATTTTTATTTTAAAAAAATATATAATGGAGTATTATTATTCTATTCCTAAGCATACCTTAACCGCCAATCGAAGTCCACTTAATTGGTAGACTTCTTAAAGGGAAAAAATTTTTAAAAACTTACTGTGCTAGTTTTTCTCCTCTACAATAAGAGAAATCAGTCAATCACCCCCAAATTAACGTAGCTAAGGCCTTTTCCAAAATTGGACCGGCGAATCCAATTGCAGTAAAATCCCCTAAACCCTTATCGTCCTCCTCACACCACCAGTCACCGCCGCCCACCATGAGCGACAGAGCTCGCGACGCCGGCGGCCGGGACAGAGAACGCGACCGTTACAGAGACCGAGACCGGGACCGCGATTACCGCGACAGAGAACGGAAGAGAGACCGCGAAGATCGTGACAGAGGAGAGCTTGACCGAGAACGCAGCCGGCGTTCCCGTTCCCGTACACCTGACCGGCATCGATCTCGGCACGCCCGTTCCCACACGCGCTCCCCTTCTGCTGACCGGCGACGCTCTCGTTCGCATTCTCCGGATCGACGCCACCACCGTCACCGGCGTCACCACCGCTCCCCGACTCCCGAAAGCCCTCCTCGGAAACGGAGGAAGGACGATGAAGAGAAGGACAGGGAAAAGGACAGACACCGCGGCTCCTCAGTTGACGGGGCTTCGAAGGAGAAGCAAAAGAAGCAGAAGGAGAGTGGCGGGGAAGTTGAACAAGGGAATGAAGATGGTGAATTGATGGATGTGGATGAAGTTGAGATGATGAAGCAACTTGGAATCCCGGTAGGGTTTGATTCTACTAAAGGGAAGCCGGTGGCTGGGAATGATGTAGGGGGTGTGAGGAAAGTTACCAAACGGCAGCCCCGGCAGTACATGAATCGCCGTGGGGGATTTAATCGCCCCTTGCCTGCTGAAGTTAATCGTTAAATTCAAGTCCAAGGTTAGGTTCTGTTCAAAATTTTTGAATTACATTATTTAGTTTTGTGTTTGGAAGTATTAAGGAAAGACAGGTTATCTGAAGAGTAATTTTTATTTGGTTTCTGTGTTTGAATCCATGGTTATTAGTTTAGTTGATGTTGACTTGGAACTCGCATTCAGCTTTCATTGTGGATTGTCACGAAGAAATTGAACTGTACTGTTATAGAGTAATAACATTTTTGTTCTTTTTTTTTTTCTTTTAATTAGTGCATAATTAGTGAAGTTTTGGATGTTTAATCTGATACTGCTGTGTATGCTTCCGTATCATCTAATCTAAGCTATTGACTCTTCATGGTATCAGTCTAACTATCACATGGTCAACAATGGAAATGCTTCATATATCAGGAAGAATAAAAAATGATACGGCTCAGACATAGGAAGTCATCTGTATGCATTTGCAGAGCAATTGTGTTCAGAACAATACAATTGCACTATTAAAAACTAAATAAAGATGGAATAAAGATGGAATGGCAAAAAAAGGTTCTTTACTTGATCTGGAGGATGGTTGTTTTGCTTTATTCATCTTTTGGCCTCTTGTTCCCTTTACGACCTGTTATATTCTACTCATGTTTGTTTTTATGGAGTATTTTTAGTTGATTCTTCGATTCATATGTTTATATTGGTTCGTTTGAACTTAAAAGAGTAGGTTTTATAATCATGCTGTATTGCAGCCTTTTTCTTTGTGGACGAGGGGGCATGTATGTGCTTATGTTAATTTGAGTACTTGGGTTTTTATAAAAGCCGGACAGTGAGGTCATCAGAGGGTTCTGGTTGAATAGATAGGGTCAAGGAAAAGCAATTTTGATTGATTTTGGATTTCTCTGTTTACTTGCCAACTGGCAGGCCATTACGGCTTTTAAAATTTTTTGTCCTGATTTGCTTGTTGCTGAGGAATTGGATGCAGATTTATCTTCTGGTGTTGGGTGTGAGGCACGGAACTGCTAATGGTTGCTGGATAAGCTATGCCCACGAAATGCTTGCTGCATGTTAGGTTTATGAATGCACCTTGATATTGTGTGAAGTGTGGTAAAATTTTCTGCATTAAAATTAATCTTGCAATTTTCTTCTTTGATTGACAGATTTTACATGCTGAAATTGCTACATATAATTGTTCGTGTGGCTTGTCTTGATTTGTGATCTTCAATTTCGGTGACGGACTTTAATAGTTGAAGTGATTATTTTATCATATTGCTTCCATGACTCATGATGCTAAATTGTAATTCTCCTAATATTGTTAGGTTTCTTTGGAGATCAAGTTCCAACTCCTGTTCAAGATTCTTCTGATTGGGTCCCTGCTTCCGTGCTACCATGTGGGTTCTTCAAAGCAATGATGTAAGATATTTCTTTAGGGTGTATTTATTTGATAATTCTGATGGAATACAGACGAATATTTCTGATGATGTTCTCTGTCTGGTTCTTCGATGTGACTGTGAATTGTCAGTTGGAAACGACTAATGGGCTTGTATTGGATGAATGTTATGATCAAATGTGCCTTTCAGTGTCTTGAAATTCAATTTAAGCGCATTATTTATATATATCCACATTCTGCTGTGTTGTAACCAGCTTTTTAATATTGCAGCCTCATTATCTGTAATTTTGGCATCTTTTTTCTTCTTCTGCTATTGATGTTATTGCCCACTTATTGTGGTTATTAATGCATGTGGCTTGCTAGGGACACATTTTTTAAGTGTAAAAGAAATTTAAGAATCACATCTAGTTCTCCCACACCTGGTAGAAAATGAGAGAATGGTTGAGAGGCTGTTCTTGGCTGTAAGATGCTTTCTAGCATCGCTATTATCTAATCTCCTGTTTGTTGGAGAGTTTATTGTCAATTTGGAAGTGCGGTGGTGCAGAACTTGAATCTTTTTCTGAAACCTAGCTTGATTTCCACATCTCCAACTCAGATGTTCAATTTAAGCTTTCAGCTTAGGTAATGTTTGTTCCTTTCCTCAAGCATCACTAATTTATGTTGATATATCATCTCATTCATAATTTTGTAGGAATGTGTAAGATACTTTGAATTATACTTGTAGCAACTCGTGCTGGGTTGGGTTAGGATATCTAATATAAAGAACCTGTGATACGGGGGAAAAAATTACAATCATTGAAAGCTGGGCTAGGATTAAATGTCATGTGGTGGAATTGATTTAGCTGTGTGGAATGGGTTGTTTGCTGGATCTTTTCTTTTGTATTCACAGATTAAATAATTGTGTAGTCATTGCCGGGTGAATTGCTTGGTTAGCTCATTTGGCAGGCAGCATCTGGTGGAAAAGAACTATGGATTCAATTGACCTAGTTTGGCTGCTGAAGCTTTCGACCTTTTTGGTTGCGAACGTGTTACTCTGAGTCCCCAGAATTAGAAGGATCTTGACTATCTAATAGAAACCAAAAAGGAAACTGTGCAGGACGATAATGTTAGCTGAACTCACCATTTAGACTTTTGTTAACCCTAGTAGTTCTTCTGAGTTGTATTTTCCAAGCAGAATTCAGTGTCCAGATTGACATACATTAAATGGGAGCCCGAGCACCCGAACTCAACACAAAATGTACTTGGTCTTTTTCCATGAAGAATGTTTCTTATCTACTGGTTTTAAGACCCTTTCTCCTCCCTAAGGATAGCCCGTAAAAATGAGTGAGAGGCATTCGGCTATGTTCAAATTTCAAGCAAGTGCTCGAGTAAGTGGCCTGCTTTTGTTATTTGAAATGAAAAGTTTGCTTAAGACATACATATATTGACTAGGGCATGATATTTACTACATTTGTTAATGGTTTTACTGGTCAGCAATGTAACAGTTGAGAAGTAGTTCCACGATGTTGACGATGATGAGATTGGATTCAAACCTCTTTCACTGCATCCTATACTGATTGCCACTATCCAAACATTATAATGCAACCATCAAGAATTAAAACATTACCAAGCACAAGATCAATTTTTAACATTTAGTTTCAGGCTACTTGATCAATTTGAGTTTCCGTGCAAGAAACAAATTGCTGCATAGAAATATTTTTTACTGCTCGATTTTATTTGTATTCGTTTTTTTTTTTTTGTGGGGGGGGGGTGGTTGTAATTTAAATGTACAACCGCGATTGATTTTATGGTTGGAACACTTGATGTGATTAGAACTAAGGAAACATTGGCTTGCGACGAACTTAAGTTACTTTTGGACAATAACATATACTATAATTTTTGATTCATTAAGTTGTCAAAAGGGAATGAGCCCCCCACAATAGGATTAAAGCATCCATATTACATCATGATTGATCAAAGATAGTGAACTAGTGTTGAATAATGCGCCTCATATATATTCCGCAACTAGTGATAGAAAAAATAATCCACCTGGAATTTTTTATTTTATGACTATGTATTCGTGAATTACTCCAACATGTTTGGGCTATTGTCTTGTCTAAGACATGTTTTGGCCCGAACCTTTTGTTATTATTATTATTTTTTTATCAATAGCCACCATTTTGTTTGACATTTACTGTTTCTACTGGTGTTGTTACCAGACTATCATCGGCCGATCAAATTTCTGTCGACTTGGTTAGAAATTTGGCCAACTAGCAGTGGTCCGATAATAATCAACAGTGGTAGTCAAAACTTTATTTCTTGTCCAAACACTTTTTTAAATTTTTTTTAAAAATACATCTCAAACACACAAAATAGAAATCAAAACATCCAAATCAAAACAACAATCGAAACGGAGGTGTTTGAACATTCAATATTTGTTTATCTGGAAAATGTATGTAATAGAGACACAATTTAGTGTAATTTGTACTAAAAATGAAAATCTAAATTAGATAATCATTTTTAGATGAGAAATAAAAAAAGTCAAAGGGAGGTAGGTTAATCTAGTTGGGCTTCTGAATGATGAAAGCCATGCACTGGGCCTGCTTCGTGTTATCAAATGCCAAGCACCGGATATAAGCATTTGGATAGGCCTTTTTACATTCTTGGATTTCATGGATTACTTGGGCTGGATCACTGCATCCAAACATGGGTAACTTCCACAAGGTCCAGTATCTTCCATCGTAATAACCTGGCATGTTGCTATTTTCTCTGTGCACAAATCCCTCCTTTTTTTTAGGAAAAAAAAAAAAAAATTAAAAGAGAAAAGAGAGAGCCATAAGTGCCATTTGGTTGAATAAATGGATAAGAATACACATGGATTGCGATAATATATCATACAAAGTAGTATTGTGGGGTTTTAAATGTAGCAAAATAGAAAAATTTGTGGAGAAAATCAGAACAATAATAATGTTGTTTAAAATGGCGGTCGGATAGTGAAGATATTACTCCCTCTGTCCCATAATTATTGTCCAGTTTGAGGTTTCATTTCTAGTTTAAATTGTACTAAAATTGAAATTTCAAAGTGGACAACAATTTTGAGACAGAGGGAGTATTTTATTTTAGAAAAAACATTATCCATACTTCATCTCAGCCTAAAAACATCTTTTAAATCAGTTTTTCAATGAAAAAACGAAAACTCGCCCACACAAACCATAAATTTCATACTTACTGCATCAAATTCGAGACATGGTACCCATCCCTTTTTTAGCATATAATCAATCTGCTTTGCAACTGATTCGTCCCCAAGAGTTGGAAGGTATGATAGGGTCTCGAACTTCTTGTTATCGATCGGGTTCCATGTCTGCCCAAATCAAACAGTAATGCTATTGAAATTCATCAAAATATGTATATATATATATATATTTAATTTATTCTATATGTTCTAAAATAATTATTTAATTTGTATATTTATTTTTAGTATAATTTTTACTCATAAAAAAGTAAAAATTCAAAATGAGCAATTGTTTCGTAATAGAGGAAGTATGTAAATTCAATAACATACACCAATGTATATATACAGACTAATTAAACCCTAACCTTCATGCAGGAAACTTTGGATCCATTGGAGATAGTTTTGCGACGCCATGCAACCAAATCATTTTTGACAGCGTTAAGCTTAGAACATTTGGTTTGGAGTTTAATTTCGACACAACTAAGGGCTGGTGAGAGACCTACTACAGACATTATGTGACTGCAAAAGAGAAACTTTGTTAGAAACTTTTATGAGGCCTTTTCTTATGGAATTGAAAAAATTGTTCAGTTTTTGGTGATGGTATTATAGCTGCAATTTGGTGTAAATTTGTTAGAGAAGAAATCAGAGAGAATGGATGTTGAGAATCTAATGGGCTGAATTGGGGAGAAGTTAATTAAGGATGGAGAAGAAGAAGAGAGTTGAGTTTTTAGACGGAGGGTGCAAGGTGGTTTACTGAGTTTTGTTAAGCATTTTTGCATTGGTTTCATCACTATGCATTCTGCCTGCTACATTGTTTTTTTGGGATTTTCTGGGTGGATTTTGAGTTACCAAAGAGAGATAATTGGCTTTTGGAACTACTTGGGCTTCTGAGGCATTTGGTTGTTGCCTAACTACCATACGTATTTGATCCGTCTCAAAATAGTTATTAAAAAAATAATTTATATTGAGTTTTTTTTAAAAAAAATATATTGAGTTTTTTAATTTGTGCAAAAAAATAGTTTAATCTAATATATACAAATTAAAAAAACTCAATGCAAAATATTTTTTTAGAGTATAAGGAAATATATTAATTCGTCTAAACAAAATAATAATTTTAAAATATATGGGGTCGTAATATCGATGCCTTTAACTGCTGCCTGCTGGCATACTGATTACATCATTAAATCATAACCCTATTCGATGTTTTGAATTTATTATTGTAAATAAAACAAGTTGTTTGAAGGTAATGCACTTGCCTAACTTTTAATTTGTTTTCCCTGGCATATGATAGTAGTTTACTGCTGATTATTGTGTACGGATCATGATGTCAATTTCTCCTGGTAAGCGATGTTGGGCTAAAGAGGCAATAATGTCCTTAAAAAGATGCTCCATTTGAAACAGTCAAGCATTTGATTTCCATCTAATTCACGTTATAGTACAGTTCTTTGAATCAATCACAAATTAATCACATGAAAATGAGAGGATATCGATATCAACAACCGATCATCGCCCCTTTTATCAGCAATAGAGTAGTATATATGCAAAAAAGAAAAACACGTTAATTTCATGCATGCACTAACGAACATGGCTCAACTCGCAGAACTGACCTATGTAATTTATGTTTGTTTCGGTTTTTTAGTGTGTGATTTTAGATTTTTTTTATATTGGGAATGTAAAAAGGTGTTTTGGAAATGTAAAAAGGCAGAATGAGATGGGTAATAATAAAATAATTTGAAAAAACCAACCAAAAAAGGAAATATAGAGAGCAAATTGTATCTATATTTTGATCATCAGCTGTATATTTCTGAAAAGAATAATTGAATTATAACTACTGAATTGAGTAAATTCTGTCTTGGGATTTTTAATTTCTGACTTCACCAAGCTATTACATTAGTTAAAATTTACCGGCCCAGACCGGTCGATATACCTTGTTTTATTACAATTAAGCTGTAGTCAATAAACGTGATTAGGAGAATAATCCAATTTGTTTTTCAATCAATGTCACAGAAAAGCTGATTAATCCCCCCACCCCCCAGTTTATATCTCTGAAGTTGCTTCAAGGAATTTTTATAATGAATACATCTTTTACCCGTATTTGAACAATCTATGATGCAGTCCGCCTTTGTGGATCGTTAAGGCATAATTACTTTCAGCTCGCTCTTCTTTTTTTTTTTTAAAAAAAAAAACCGAAGAGATTAAAAAGGAAAACAAAATCTATTTTAACATCTGGAAATTTGTCTACCAGTACGGATTGAACACGAGATGAATACGAGAGAATTTACTTTGATCGATTGTATTCACTATGTATGTAATATATATCTACCCATAATATAACAAGTACACATATTATATGCCAAATAAAAAATTTAGCATCGAAAGTACCCTGAAAATCTGTTGTAAATCAGAACTCATCATTAAATTACCAAATAGATCAATTATTGATTTTCTAAAACTACGATAAATAATGAAAAGGCCTATCCGTAAGCTGGCCTCAAAAACTTTCAGATGCCATTTTGATTATTATATTGATTGCTAACAAACTCATTTTTGTTTGTTTCTTCGAAGCCCTTTTTTCTACCTCCTCCCCAAAATTATTGTTCAGTTTGAAATTTCAGTTTTAATATAATTTGAACTAAAAATAAAAATCCAAACTGGACAATAATTATGAGACGGAGGGAGTATTTGTTTGAAAAAGTCTCGAAGCTTGTTATACGCTATTGTTAATCATTTAAACAAGCTACCCCATCATTTGATTCTTCTATAAAAGGGAAATTAATGAAGGAAAAGATCAACTAAGACGAATTACTTAGCAGCAAAAACAAGCAAAGTTTATTCATGGCGTTCTCCTCCGTGAGCATGGAACAGCAGCACAATGAGGTACTAATTCTTGTTTGTTATCCCCTTCTTATCACGATTTTTATCCAGATTTTCTATACTTAATTAGTCCTGTAAACTTTCTTAATGTTCTCCGAATCAGCATTTCTGGTTATTGGTTAAACATCATGATTATAATATATATATATATATATATATATGTATGTGTGTGTGTGTAAATAGATATATGGAAATATGAAGGAAAAGTCAGTAGTCAACGTTTTCATCGTTTGAAGGGACTAGTGAATCGATTTTTTTTTGAGATGATCTATTCTCATACATGATGGTCTCCATGATTTTTTTTTCATTTTATTTTATTTCTTTTACTCACTTTATCTCATCTAAGTACTGCTTTAAATTTATAAAATGAATTATCAAAATGAGAGGTAAGGAGTAACTGATAAGCACTTACAACAACTGATCTTTGTACTTACATGGCAAAAGTTATTCTAGCAATCTATACTTTAATCCGATTTCCGCAGTTTCTCATCCCCAGCTCCCTTACCATTATTTGCTTGCTATTCAATCATATTCCATATTGCAGTTATGCCTATATAATTCTCTACCACATATGACATAACCACTAGCCATTACAAGGTCACCATTTAAGTGACCGTTCTACAGTCAACTTGATCGGATATTATCCGACCTAAGTCAC